TCTGATGTTCTGAATGCGTATCAAATTACGCTGGCATCCGAATTGTGTAAGCGCCCACTGAACACAGTATAAAGGGCACCGGTCGCATATTCGCCAAATGTTACTATCAGCATGTCTTCATGTGGCAAATCAAATTGCCACACAATCTCTGGATGCTTACCAACGTGTACCTACTGGAATCGAATACAATGAGGCTGGCAAAGATCTCAGAGAGAAACTGGGTGCTAACCTGAAGAGAGACGGCAAAGCCTGGTAGCCTCATCTTGCCTCAGAGATGAGAGCAGCCGCTTCCATCAGACGTTATTCCGTCTGATAGGAGAAACGTGCAGCAAGAGACCGGATATTAGCGAGACCATACGTGACGAGAGTGGACAGCCGATCCGAAGCTTGTCAAAACGCTTGGAGCGTTGGGTCGGGCTCTTTGAGAAGCAGTACAATTAGTCAGAGTTGCCAGCTTCTCCAACGACCAATGATCGCCCTTCTTCCTTGGCCGTCCCCATGAATCCGCCCACACGCGCAGAAATCAAGCGTCAGATCAGACAGCTGAAATTGAACAAGGCCGCCGGCGCAGATGAACCTCATCCAGTCCTCTTCAAATTTGGGGGACCAGTTCTTTTGGACGATTTACATACTACTTGTGAATCTATGGGAGCAGGAGTCTGTCCCAACAGACTGGAGCCGCTGCGTTATAGTCCCAAATTTCAAGGGTGACTCCTGTTCGGAATCCTGCATTCATCGAGGAATTAGTTTGATCTCAATTGCCTCTATGTTACTTGATTCTGTCTTGCTCCATAGACTGACTGGCACTCGTAAAAGTCAGATTTGCGAAGAGCAGACCGGGTTTCGTCGATATCGATGCTACATTGACATCTTTACATTACGTCAATTGTTGGAGCACTGCCATGTTTATTGGCAACCCACCGTAGTTGTGTCCCTAGACATCAAAGGTGTCTTCGATTCAGTGGATCGATGGGCCCTTTGGGACCGTTTGTTATCTTTGCGACTGTTTACTCAAGTAAGGTGTACCCGAAAAATATGTCAATATCAAAAGAGCATTGTACGCGCATAGTTCTGGCTGAGTGATGATTTATGTGAAACTGTCGCCACCCTCCAATATCTCCAGCGATGTGAAACAAGGTTGCTCGTTATCACCTTTCCTCTTTAACTTCGCCATTAACGGCGTTCTCTGTGCACGACCTACAAAGTGTGGAGCTGTATGCCGACGTCATTACCCCAATCTGTGACAGCTCCCACACGTGCCATGCTGCACTGGATGAATTAGTTCTGGCTATCAGTTGTTACGGGCTATGCATCGCACCCCAAAAATGCAAAGTCCTCCTCCAAGATTGGCAGGGACCCAATTCTGGGCTTACCCTTGGTGGTGATCACTTAGAAGTCGTCCGAAATTTCAAGTATCTGCGCAGCTGTAGTAGCGTTTGTGGGATTGATGATGGCATCGCGAACCCTATAGAGTGAACTCGATGCGCCACTTGTGGCGTCGGGGTGACATCACTTTCGCCCAGAAGAGCAGAGTTTCTAACGCAGTGGTGCGTTCAACCCTACTGGACGGTTGTAAAACCTGGCCCATCAAGTCGACAGACGTAAAGAGTCTCGCTCCGTTCGACCATCGCTGCCTTCACATCTTATTTCACGTCTGGTGGGAAGACTGCGTGAGCAACGAATGTGTTCGACTTCGTGTATTTGATGCATTGAGAGCGAGTGAAGCACTCAACACCGCTACTTCACGCACTAGGCTCCGATGGCTGCTTCACGTGTTGCGCATGTCTACACACCGACTCTTGTGTTATGCGTTGTTTGCGCGGCCTGAGTCTGCGTGGAAGAAGAGAAGGGTAGGCCAAGCAATTACTCAGTCAAAAGGAATGAAGTCCCTCACTTCGAGGTTGGCGTCCGTTAGTGTCTCCCAGCTACCGGGCTGGGGTCCGAAATACGCTGAAAACGTTTAGTTGGGTACACTTGTTGACATGGCAAAGAGCCGACGTGAGTGGTGTTTGTATTGTGTTTATTTGTCCCTCCCCTACCGCTTCTCTTCCCCCTCCAACAGCGAGCTCAGTCCTATGTATAATATGATATTTAGCATGATGTCACTTTTTAGCTGTTATATTCTGTAATAGGTAATCCCCATTGTTTTTGTATTGCAACACATTAGGTACTGTGTGTTTCTGACCCACGGCTAACATGTATTTCGATGATGATGACTGAATTTAGATCCTGGTCTTTGCTCCTTCGCTTCTTTGGTGACCAATTTCTTCGTCCAACCACTCTTGGTGCATATTTTCATATCACTGCTCCTCTGGCTAGAGACATATGGTTACTGTGGTTGTTTACATCAGCCCTGTGATGGAATATGATTAGGATACAGCCATAGCTTACGGACAACTCGATGCTCGGTGCGAGTGGTTTCTAGAATTCTCCTGAACTTCATTTCGGGTGCACTCTTCCATTCATACATTTGTTTGCTTGATGAAGCTCAACTGATCGAACCGTTCAAAGTCACCCACCACTTGCGAGCCATCCCCGAGCCTGACAGTGTTGTTGTCTTCTGAGATGGAAACTGCGAATCAATTTCTATCCTTTATAAAGTGTTCACTAAATAAAACGGGGGATTTTCCGAATTCAATATAAAATCACCGGACTAGCGGGATATTGAGGTGCTACTTCTTGTCCTGGGTTCTACACCTAACCGGTCATTTGTGCTTAGGCTTTGCCTATGATCATGATCCCTGCGTCTCTCATCTCTTATCCTGCCCCACATTTGTTATTCGCCAGGTACTTTGACTCCGTTCCCTTGAACATTCATTGCGCCTGTTACTTTGTGTGACACCGTTCAGGTATGAATTCGACCAGGCAACAGACAATTCATACGGTGGTACACGTGTGTAGCCCAAATGCTGCACGCATTGATTATAATGTGCTTGTATGCACACATTGGGATTCGGGACAGAATGTGTGCATAAAGGCACATAGGAATTCGTCCTGAACACGTTCTGCTTTCTTTATTTCTTCTTCATTGCTAATCGATGTACGGTTGTTTACACCTTTTTGTCTGAATAAAAACGTCAGACCAACTCTTCTGAAGTGCTCGTAATGTTTCATTCATTAAGATGACTTGCGTTTAAGTTTTTAAGCTGAAATGTGACGCTTGTCGGACTTTAGCTCCATATTTTATGCACATGTATCCTGGTTTTCTTCGATTTAAAGGCCTGATTGTGTGGCACGAACGTCTTCTATCTTCTTGCACCAAGACTAGTGAGCGGGCTTTCAAATTTTAACCACGCTTTGAGTCCTCTGGTTGCATGTGGTGTGGAACAACTCCCTTTCCATCTCATTCTCGTGCTCCAATGTTTCCTTTGGCAGACCCTCGGTGCTGAATGTGCAAATGATGTTTCCACTGCAGCAAACAAGAACTACTATGAATCAGCAGTTATGCTGGCACCCCGTTACCACACAGCCGTAAATGTTGTATGTGAGCTATCGGATTTCATCCAAAGCCTATTCTCAATGCAACGTGACTCTGGTACTAGTGCACAAGATGTACAAACTTCGGGCAAATGGACACCACTCTAATCACAACTTCTAAGCCGGATGGCTATGAAACTATTTGTCTGACCTCTGACTTTTAATATATTTGACAGGTGTATCTTTCGGCGTGCCCGAAACCTTTACCCAACGTAGACAAATGTGTTGCGGAGTTCGCAACCAACCGAATCCCAACAGCGACACGGGGTCACATTTTGTCTCGCAATTGCTCATCCACATGACCAGCGATTATCGCAGCATTTATCGAGAGCTGCTTCAGATTGTCAAGACCTTGCGTTGTACATTAGTAATCAACTAGTTCGAAACAGTGAACAATTATCTCTCTTCCATTTGCATTAAATTAGAGATGGCAAAACAAAGATGCCGGTTATTTAAGAATGTCTTCATCGATCTCGCTAAGTTGTGACAGCCTGTCAAAGTAATACATCTCGATTATGCGGTCCAACGCATGCTCCATAATTTGACGCCTTTGATTAGTGGCATTTTTTCGCTCGTTTGCTCGGCATTGCTTTCGCAACGTTTAGTGCAGTTATTTAAGAAGTAACTTGATGCACACGGTATTTCTTGTTAGACCATTCACTACCACAGTCTTAAACCGATGTGTCACCATAGAGCACCGCGTTCCATTTCGCGCTATGATATGTGACAAGGTGAGAAGTGAAACCAACAGTTGTTTTAGGGTGCAAGAGAGGACAAGGTTTATGCCCAGAGTTAGATTATTTTATTAATTCTGGATCAGGAACAATTGACTTGGCGTCCATTGAGCATTTTATTTTATTTGTTCTGAATCTGTCTCGGTTTTTCGCCTCCAACGACCGAGACGTTGTCTTCTCATTCGAACACAGTGATTGCTGTTTCTTAAATTCATCACTACTGCGAGAAATATAAACTCATCTACCGGAGCTACTCGCAGTACACACCACCCACCGATTTGAATCCTATTGATTTAACTGAAAAGTCTGTATAGAGAGTAGGTCGGGTGTGAGAGCTAGTCAACATCAAAGAAAAATAGGATTGTTCACCGTTGGCTGCGCTTTCAGTTTGCTCTTCTTTTGATGCCACTCGTCGCCTTGGAACGTTTGATCAACTAACGGTGCTGGGTGTGTGGTGGCTGTCTGCCTGAGTCTAACCTCGACGAATCCTCACAAAACTAACAGCCCTTTCTCCACCAACTCATTATCGTACTACATTGATCGTCGATGGTGTACGCGGATCGCTTTACCCTTAGCACACGCTTACACGTGCTTTTGGGGCCAATCACGTGTTTGTGTATTAGTAGCACATTGACTAGCATTTGACACACTGTATTTTCAAGGCACTTTCCGTTATGGGATTTCTCTTTTGATCCACATTTGCTAGTGCATTTGTGCTGATATCGTACACGCGCACAACGTGGCTTGCACTTCCCATCGCTAACTTAAGTGTGCATTCTTCTTTCACAGAAAATTTGCCGAATCTGGTTCAACACCTTTTTCGTAACCAACTCCATGAAGAAACCGGCTGATGTGAGTTATCCCACTTCCCCTGTCGGCATGCAGCCAATATCTCTCCCCTGTTCGCAGTCAGCCGTCCGAGTGGATGGGAGTCGATCAAGGCCAACGGCAAGTGAACAGCATCCTGCATACCCACAGTCGAATCTCGCCAGGGATGCAATATCGATTGATCCCAAGATTCGAACGAATGGCCCCCATCCCACCTGTAATAATTCCCTACCGAATTCCCGAAACCGGACACATTCTCATCCGAGCATCACTCCTCTTTCTGGCTACGTGTCAAATTCGGTAGGTACGGATCAGGTCAGACTGATTCTGTCCATCCTTCTTGTGCCGACTTGCGTAAACCTAGCTTAAGCATATTCCGTCCCTTTCATAAGCTGCGATTTACACACTCATTTGCGTACCAGCTCCTATGTGGTATCGGAAATCCGTGCCAGTCCTCAGTCCTGAAACTTCGGTGATCCTCCCGGCGCAATGACGCATTACTTTGCGGACCTGGACACTACAGGTTACAGGGTGTAGCGGTACCAGCCGACTCTGCCTCCTTTACCTTTTGCCACCATTTCCTTCTACTATTGAATGAGGCGTGCTTTCTTTGAACTCGTCGTATGCTACTCCTACTCTCCTCCCAACTGGCAAACTCTACTACCCGTTGGTTTCGGCCCCTGTGCTCAGGCGCATGTCTGATCGCAGTCTCATCCGATGCATCCTTCTTCTCATTCACTTTATCACAACGGTTAGAACCCTTTTGGTACCTCACAAGTGGTTGTAAAACGGATGCGTATATTTGGGCAACTGCATTTCAACGCCTCATCTCCCTTTCATACCTTGTGAACACAAGAAGGTCGGCTTCAGTTCATATTGCTAACGGGATACAACTTGCCAAGCATATAGATGGCTTATTCTATGGGTTGCATTCACAACTCATACAGAACAGGTAAAACGTAGTGGGGTGAGGTGCTGTGAATATCTGGGCTGCTTAGGAAATTAAAAACGGGGTCATAGGATCTGCAAAAATCCCCTACTGCTGGAACCTGACCGACGGCTTGTCATCGCGCATTAGAGTCAATATGGTTGAGTCTGTGTACAATAGTTTGATTTCCAAGTAATTGTAAAAGTCTGATGATGAATTACCGAAAACTTGTTCACTTACGCAGACTTTCGACCTTCTGTCGTTTGTCATACGCAAAGTATCACGCAGGGAAAACAAACGTTTGACTTTTTCATTAAAGATATTCTGCTGACATCGAGCTCAATTTGCGTGTGGTGTTCGTTACGTTTTGAGCCTGACTTAGTAGCCAAACATTAATTGTGATAACTTTTTTCTGCATACTTATGGATGAATGAAAGACCTTTCTCTTACCCGTGACACAAGTGTCCAATACCATTCAACTAAAACAGTCTTGCCCCATCAACCGGCCTTCCACGGTCTTTCTCAACTTTTCATCTGACGCACAATGTGCTTTCTAAAAGCATTTCAGTTTTGGGAACAGATGAAAGTCACCTTAGACCTGGTTATGAGAATAGGCTGGATGCGGAAGTTCCTGAAATCCACATTCAGAATTGGCGGTTTTCGATCACTTGATTGCGCGAGCTGGCGCACGATTGAGCAAACTCAGAGCACTAGCTTTCGACATTTTTCTTTAATACAAACTCGCAGTCGCTGTAATGAAAATTGTTGATGGTCATCTTGTGTGGTGTATAGTCAGATAAAAATGGGTGTTCCCCGCCCGAAAACACTGCACTTCACGACGCGTTTCGATCTCATTAGACGGAACCTTTACCACTTTAGCCACTGTGTCACGACGGGTAACAGCTAACGACTGGTTGGAGGGTCATTTTAAAGTGTTGTTTGTGTGACTGCACTGCGACGCGCAATCTGAATGTGGACCGCGATACGCATCGAAGCGAACCTTAGTCAGATCGATCGCTGGGACCGTAACTGATGTAGCAGGCAGATATTGTGCATGAGATCATGACTTCATTAACCGAACCTTGAATTTCTTGAGATAATGGAGAATCATGGTGTTTCCAATGCATTGCCCGTCACTTGTATTAATCCGTCTTTGTGTGTGGTTTCAAGATTCTCTTCCGGACATCAGACATGACTCTCCCATTTCCGGAGTCAGCATATCCGACACCTATTGCACACACCAACGATATCTTCAAATGTCCACTGGTATCCCTTTGACGCTTGATAAAGTAATACCAATTGTATGGGCTATTTCACACAGCCGTTTGTTTATTTTCCACCAGCAACGTCTCCATTGCGGCAACGTTTTCTTCATTGGTTACCTCCACAAACTGTATTGACCATCACTAGTTGGAACGACATCCTTCTTCGGCGACATTCAGCAGCCTGGTGTTTACCCGTTACTTGTGAAGCGGATGTGGTGATCCTGGCGTACATTCATCGCACATCCATGGATCTCCTGCACTGAAACATTTTCTAGGGTTCGAAATACTATTACAGCTCTGTGCTTCACTATTTGCTTTTCTCCAAATATTGCAGTGTACTTCTGAAACTAAGATAAAATCTAAATGTGGACATCTAGAAACCACGAAGTTGGCACAATCGATTGACTAAGATAATAGGAGCCATCAGACACCTTGACAGTTGTCATCATCATATTTCACCCCTCGTATCTTGTGGTCAGTTCTGAAACACTTCATATCCCTTGTTGAAATAGATTTCGGCCCACTCAGCCCTATTACTGATCGTCGTATGTGCTTCAAGCTCATAACCAGTTCTCCTGTTCATCGTTGTTCTACGTAGCTTCTCTATCTGCCATTCCTCAGTTTGCACACATGTTTGTGCATGCAACATCCGCAATAAGGGGTAGAGATCTCATCGATCGATAGTTACTGTGTATTGCAAACTGTATTTTGGAATTTAAATCACGTGGCTTCGACCGTAATTGATCACTACATTCTTCTGTCAATTTGGTTCAACAGTGTCGTGTCGTATTCATTGACCCCGAATCCTCTTGGTTCGTTCGATGTGAGCGCTTAACCTAGTTCGTACTGTCTGAGTAAATGGTTCTCACTCCCTTATAGTATCGCTTTCACTGCTGAACAACCCTGAAGGCCGCCGCATTGTCAAGTGGTGTTACTGTCCTAACAACAACAAAACAAGGACAACGACAACAACAACAGAAGCAGCAGCAATAACAACATATTTTATTTAAACTGATACTTTGCTGCCGTACAAACATAGTGGCCTGTGAAACAAAGAATAATGAGAGGGATAGTATGGGGGTACCTACCGTTACTACACCTACACTTTGTCAACAACATGCCATAACAAGCAGTTGGCTATCTTGCAAAGTTAAAGGCGGCATCGGTGAGACAGCTTGCTTGACGCTTTCACTTTCCGGCGTCATATTCAGTCACTACCGCGCAGACAACTCGGCATCAGCCACATTTTGAACGGACAGCCCAACTTGGAGACACACCACTGATATCGACTGCAAGCTGAGATCAAGGCGAGTCACATAGACTCTAGCCTGAAAGAAAGAAGGGACCAACAGCGCACAGTTTAGGTTTAGTGACTTCATTTCCCAAGTTAAGATTTGCCCTTTTCGAGATTTGCGCTATCCTAATTGGCAGTACTTTAACGGCTGGCATCAGTTTTTAACTGTCCTATTGGGCGTAGTTCACTTAGTCTCATGCATTTTGGTATTGACTCTTCCGTGAGAATGTTTCTTCGTTTTGTTCACTGTTTTATTTCCATCCATCTTTGGTGGGAGTCACTAACATCATAATCATACTGAATGAAGCACTGGGCTCGTTAAACGTCCACGTTTGGATGACAAATACCAAAGAACGGCGTTTATAGCGATGTCACTTAACTCGATTACTGGTTTAGCGCATCGACTTCCGTCACGTCACTCACCACAAATCCAGACACTGTCGCTGGGGGCTATGTGCCTTATTATCCGACACTATGGACCACGTAGCGACAGTCCGTCTTTCTACTGGTCTTCACTTCCGGAGGGTCAATCGACAACACTGACGCAGACTAGTTGGCTTAGGCAACTTTGGTACACTTGTGTCCAAGTGTTCAGTTCACTTTACCATATATGGTTCGTGCGCCGAAGTGCGATTTAGCCAATTGTCATGAATACGGAATACTATTGAATACTGATTTGTCATGACTCACAACATTGCTAAAATGACAACATCCATAATAATAATTTATGGTTAGTGGGCAAGGAATGAAATCGTCAGAAAATTAATGCTACTGCATGTTGACTATGCCATATTCCGTAAGGTATCTAAACACTTATATCGCGAATAATGAGGTCTCCCACCGATGGAAGTCTTAAAGCATCGTTGAGCACTCATACGAACCGTTACAACGGAAATCAAGCGACATACCTACAAACTTCCTAAAACAGCCACACCAACCCCGACAAAATGGTGACTTAAAAGCCGTAAGTCAGTCATATGGGCGTCCTCGTGCTGAATGAATACGATTTGAATGGGGCAGAACTGCAATGCAGTGTTTTTGCTGATGCATTGAGACCGTCTGCTCAAGCCTACTTTCGGCGATTCTCCTTGAGCTTTTACAAATCAGCGTGTCCCGTTAGCATCGTAATCCAGCCTAGCGTCAGCCACCTCGATATCCATACGCCATCGATCTAACAGAGTAGATCACACGATGCTTTAGGAACCTGTGAACAGTTCCACGAAGTTGATGAGCAACAAAGAACGCATTGATAACGGCACGCTTGCTACAGTGAAACACCTGTTTAAGAATAAGTTGTCGTGTATGATGGTTCAAGTATTTGGCTGGAAACGTCTGTGCCCCGGGATCAAATCCCCGCTTTTCCCTCGGTTTGAACGCCGTAGCTTACGCAAAACCACTTGTAATTGCATTTAGTGAAGTGTAACGCAAAGTACTGGTATACGGTTGATCATTTTAGAACTTTTCTAGCTCCTAATGTAACTTGTAGTTCATTAATTCCGAGCCGGCCCGTACCCTTAAGCATCACAAGCCTGCCTTGTAATCTGACGGCGCGGGTTCGAGCCTGCTTAGGGACCGGGCAACTCTCGCATTATCTTTAGCCCACTTGCGACCGGTGGTGGTTGTGCGGCAGCGAGGCGTCGGCACTGCGTACCGGCGTACTGCTTATGTCTTTTTATTTCTTTCATTAACTCCCAAGATTCTAGTATCGATCTAGCATACCAGATAACATGACACAGGCTTCAACGTGCAATCCCTCAACCGAACAAATGAGGGCTTTTTGCTTAAATATAGATTGGAGACCACAGCCTACATTACGTCTATCCACTTGCGCTTCCAGCTGATGAGATTATTTTGACTTTTTCTGACTCCTTTTGTCGTACACTTCTTGTACTATCCCACGATCATAGTGACTGGATCCATCGCACCTGATTATCGGTTCGTAGTTGTAAAACGGAATCAAATTAGAGCCGAGTGTCTGAGTTGTACTGTGCAATTCACCCCACTGGCTCGATTAACTAACCGTTGAATTCTGGAGGGAAATTTGATGAATTTACGCATTCCTGTTGTGCACACTCTGGCGAGGCATGCCATTCGTGCATCTTCGGGCTAACTGTCTATGGATATCAAATAAAGCTGGGATTTTCCGATCGTTTACGACTTTGACACCCTTTCACAGTGCGCAAGCCCCGGCTCCCATTTTTCCTACTGATATTGTTCGTTCTCGCAGCATTTCCTAGGAGACCACCTGTAAACTCTGATCATTCAGTTTCAATCGTCTTTACTGTTGTAGGCTGCATTGTAATTAATTGCACTTGGCTGTCATCTCTAGTACAAATCTTACCCACTTATAGTGATTTACTCACTATTTCATTTTGCTTAAAGTCTTTCCCCCCAATTTTCATCACATTCATCCACGATCTATCAGACCTGTGGCGCTTCCCCTAGAGCTGTTTCGCCATCCACTACCAGAAAAAGGATCGTGTTGCAACTAGGACGTTGTGAACTGGACAAAGTGAGCAAGAACCTGCTATCAAGAGACTGTATGGTACGTTCCAGAATTGTTCAAAATGGATTTTATTGTTTACTTCGCTGATGGAGGTGCATTGGTTGCAGCACTTGCAGCACGATAATGCACATAGTTTGCTGGGCTTGCTCCTACGTTGTGCCTTCAAACTTAATGTTTGTCATCGTTGTCAACCGTTTGGCGAACGTAAATGCTCTTTTCGCCTCAAAAATGGACGCATTTACCTTCAGCGCGCCTGCGAACCTGGGTTAAACGTAAGAATGCGTACACGACAAATTGCTAACTGATGTTGCTTTCCCGTGCTGTCACGTGGTCGACAAATGTTTTACCTACTAACTATTTGCTAGTAGTGCAACTTAACCCATAATTAATACTTTCCTCGGGGAAGGCATTGACACCGTGGCATCGGCAGAATATACGGTGCTGGTTTGCGTAAAAGATCATTGGCTACACGAGATAATGGGAGCTCCGTGTAGTTGGGCGGCTCCTTTTGCAATTTTCCGGTTAACAATGATCATTAATTACGCTAGCTATAACAACATCGTACGTAGGTCGTCCCGCATACAGCCATATGCGCGACTTGTCGCCTAATCATAATTTCCACTTACCTCAATAAATCGAGAATAGCAACATCTTACATAATATTCCGGTTAGTCATGCACGCGAAATCTTCACTGTGGGTGCACGCTGCGTTATGGACGTCGAAATCCAAATTAAGGTTCCGATTGGCTACATTCCACCATTTCGAGTCGGTAAAAGATGCTACCCTCTGTTATCTTGTTGCTGGTAAGATGGAGAAGAGCTTAGAGTAGAGCATCCCAGGTGTCAGTAATAATTCGTATCCTAGTTAATATGTGACCAGAAATGCTTGTTTACGTTGGTGGGTGCCAAAGGTCCGTGTGATGGCTAAAGCCAGTGCTATTGGGAACAGCCGAGTGCTATTCTAGCACATCCGGAACTCGAGTCCGAGAAAGCCATCAGTTAGCGAGACAATAGCTGAGAAAGATGGATTGTTGACCCATTCTCAGTGTCACAACTAGCCCATTGGGTGGAACATTTTGTGAACACACAGACTGTGAGTGATTCGCCAATTGGCCGTCTCCGCTGAATCGGCAGCCACTTATGGCTTTGTACCTTCTACCGAATTCCCGTAGTTAAGCAATTTGGAATTCAGATCAACTTCCCAAGGCGAGTGGTGTCATTAACTTAGGCTAAAGCATCGCCTTCATCAACCTGAGACCGTATCCTTAGTGGTCTGGTGAAGCGAATTCTGGTCAACCGTTCAACAATGATACTGTCGAGAGAGTTCTTGGCAGATATATCACTATTTCTCCCTGTCTGTCTCCCCTTCCTTAGAAGAGGTCTGAAACTTCATAAACAATAATCGTCCGTTGGTCATTAAGTTCACGAATTGCTTCACGATTGCTGTTCTCTTCCGGACGTTCCTTCCAATGGATGTCCAGAAGTGTGCGCGTCTCAAGTGATGAGTTACGGAGTCGAATGAACAGTAGAACAGTCTCTGTGTCGTCAGTGGAACTCAGTGTTACCCAGAAAACTCGAGGTTCACCCTAATGCACTTAATTCAGGTGACATGTGACCCGTCTCAACGTCGTAGGTTCAGCCGAAATGCCAGACGTGCCATGAATGGGATTCCATTTGTCGCGGTTATTCATCAGCTTTCCGTTTATGGTACTAGACTGTGATGCCAGAACACTTGTGCACACAACAGTTAAGACGCCGTGATCCCTTTTGACTGTCCAGTGGTATTAACTGATACTGTTTTAACGGTTTAGTGGACTGAAGAAGCTGAGACACCATTATGTTGCTCGATGTTAGTTTGAATCTGACTCCGAACCGCCAATATCGCCACTGACTTAGTGTGGGCTGCACTGCTAAAATGAGTGGAGGAAAACACGCCCGAGGCTTGTCCGCTTATGAGAGTGATGTGGGTCAGAGGACCTGAAAGCACAGACGCTGCAGTGCGGTTGCATCGTTTGGCTCTTTTCTTCGGCCTAGAAGCAGAGCTTGAATTGGCTGATTGTGATACCGGCGTGTCTATGTTCATTTCCGATGTTTCAACAATGATATTCATTAAATGCTCGATTACTTCAGTCAATCTCTCGCCCTTCCTTATGAGCACACATGTACAGTTGACCAGTGGAAAGGCTCAGCATGTTGGACAAAGCCAAAATGGGTCAGCTACCTTGTTGTGCTGCCTCACTTCTTGTACATATAGGATCGAGCGATCTAATGCAGCTCGAACGCATTATCCATACCTTAAGGACTTTACCGCATTTCTCTTAAGAGCATACGCAGCGTTCGCTCATGCTTGGAGTGCTAGCTGCACTTTTCTGATCACGTGCAGTTTGTCAGGGTCATTTTAAGTTCCGGGGGCAGCATTGATACAACGTTGTTCACGACGTTGATAGTCGCAACTCGCGTGACGACAGGACTGCTGAGACAGATTGGTCGGATGATCGATTGGTGGGAGCGACTTGTCAGTGAAACTGAAAAATGAGCAATATGTGCACAAGGCTGGACGCGAATGATGGCAAACAAATGATCAAAAGTATTCCGCAATTCATAAATAGTAACTATGAAAAATCAAAAACGCAAGTTTGCGAAGAGTACACTTTTTTACAAACCTCTTTAAACATTTACAATAATAAAATGGAATGTCAGGGCACAATCACGTGGTGAAGCAGAGTAGGGATAAGTAGAATCAAGCAGTCAGAAATTCAAACGTCATGATTGATAGACGTCGAGCCTTTCAGTCGACAGAATACATGTTAGTTGATTTGTGGTGTGCAAGGATTTCGTCCACCTTGGCCGTAATTAGTTTCCTGATATCTCTCACTTTGCGTGTTGGCAGCGATCGGGTAATGCGTTTTGAATTTTAACCGATCGACCAGCACGTGCTTTGTCGCATGAAAGAATCGAAGACTTTATTAGTCAAAACGATTGAGTTTCTGGTTGTCGTGATTCCACTAATCCACTCTCTGGTTTTAATTTCATTTTATAATTGCAAATACCTGAAGTGATTTATGGAAAAGAGCACTCTTCGCAAATCTGTGTTCAGTAGCTGCTTCGAAAACGAGGTACGTGAGAGAATCCGGGCTTATGGGACGGCTGAGATTGCCCAATCGGACACAGCAGGTTGGTTAAGCAAACCAAATGCCGTAAGGTTGTAGACGTAGAAGTAAGCACAACGGCTATAAAACAGTTAAAATCGTGATCTGTGAGAGGTAACTAGGTGCACGATGGCTCAAGGGATAGAGTATATTTGTACGATCCGGATGAGTGTAAGCTGAACGTGTTGTCGAGAGATGAAAAGAAGGAAATAAGCGAGAACAAGGAGCATAAAAAGATGCGGCCGCAAGGCAGAATATTCCCCTCAAATAAATCTGTACATGTACTCAGCTACACAAGCGAAAAGCTCCTGAAAGTGTAGATGCCGAGGGGATTCAAGAAAACATCAGAGCAGCAGCATCAAAAACAGAACATCAGTGTTAAAGTGATGCTTCGCTGGCATACAACCAAAAGGACTAAGGAAAAGGATAATTATGGGGGCGAAGGGGGACAAAACCCTAAACAAATATTCAGGGACAAGCCGCCCACACCATGTGTCAATAAAATACCAACACAAAAAGCTGGTTATTGTGCAAAGATTAGGCGACATCGGCGAGACAGCTTCATTGCAGTTTGCACTGCCTCGCGTCATTACCCCACAGAAAACTCACCAAAAAAAAACTCAGCAAAACAGACAGCCCGACTATAACATACACGCCACTAGTGTTGACTGCGGGATTTGTCCTGTAAAATCTTCAGCCAAGCACAAGCCGAGTCAAGTGGGCTCTAGCTATGAAGACGAGAACGACCAGCGGCACCAAGTTTGGTCGTCAGTGAAGTCATTTCACGCTGCCAAGTCAACTTTGTCCACCCAAAGCTTTGCGAAAACCTACATCTGGCAAACAAAACAAGGTCCTCCTCGATAAGCGGTGACCGCACATATGTAACACGTGCCCAAGACAACGCAACTTATTCAGTGTTTTTTGTTGTTCAAAGAAATTAGCTTGGGCACCATTACCTAGCAAACTCTTACGCACAATATCACTGTGGACACCGTGGTGCCATCCCACACCAGCAATGCTTCGTAGACAACGAAGACCAAAGACTTGAAGGCGCTGTAGGTTCTGAGATCGGAGAGGCCAAGCATCGCTCCCATAAATCAAGACGGCCTTCACTGCAGTCTTGTATACACGGCCTTTCAAACGGAAGAAAACTCTTTACTGTCGCCACTGTTGTGGCAGATTAAAAAAGACAATTCTAGCTTTTGCGATGCGTGAACTGACTTCAGTCGTTATGCGTCCACCGTTGCTGATGCAGCTGCCAAGGTAGGTGAAGTGACCAACTACCTCGAGTTCCTCGCCATCAATGGTCAAGGGGGCATCATTTGGCTAGTGATCCTGTAACATCACTTTGAAGGTGCGAAGCGCAAGCCAAATGATGGGACTATTCAGGGTTGATTGTGCAGCCCCAACATCGTTAAACAGCAAGACAAAATCGTAAGCATAATCAAGATCAACTAGCACTTCACCAGACAACACCTCAGCGCCTGCATCGTGAAGTTCCACGAGGGAACACTCCATGATGCAGTTCACGACAAAGTTGAACAAAAAGGGGGAAATCGGACAACTCTGACTAACGGCACTTGTTATCGGAAAGGTATCCGACAAATCATCGTAGACTCTGACGCGGCCTGTCGTGTTCGAGTATAGAGCACGTAGAATGTTCACATATTTCATAGGAACACCTTTCCGCGCAAGTATTTCGAACAGAATGCATCGATCGACTGAATCAAACGCACTCTGGAAGTACAGGTACTCAGCTATTGTCGGTCTGCGGTATGCGTGGCGCGGCTCAAGCACCTGCCGCAAAGTGAATATATGGTCTATACAGCCACGTCCTGCCTACTCTTCACTAATCCGAGATTCCCGTTCTGCAGTGAGGCGACGGACGAGAATTGTCACAACTAGCGTTGGGCTAATGTCCATGTGGTTAGCACAGTC